TCTTTCCTGCTTATGCAGGGGGTCGGACTCGATGATCTATTGAGGTCCCTTCCGACCCTAACATCTATGAATCTATGAATTGAAAGGGAACTTCTAGCTGTATGGGAAGTAATTACCAAAGCAGTGCTGATAGGGTCAAGTGTCCAAGATCAGCCAGGTGACTTTAAAGCCTGGTCTCAGAAATGATATGGAGAGGTAGTTGGGGTCTTAGTCTTAAGTGAAGCAGGTGGCAACTTAGAAAGTAACTGGTTCAGAGACATGAGCTTTTATAGGCCACCATCTACCTCATCAGATGCTATCCATGGCCCAGGGGGGAAGGTGATGTATGGTCTCAAAGTGCTTCAGTCATATTTGAAAACAGGGCTTGGGGAGCCTGAAGTGCTCAGAAGTTTTTCATGTGTTGTGCATTATTACGTGTTTGGTATTTTTTATGTCAGGTTAACAAGTTGTTTTCACTTCAGATGGGTCCACGCCATTCACGGTTCTGATTTTCAGAAAGCACGGCATTGGCCCATTTTCAGAAAGGAGCTGATCCTGAAGCCCCTCTTGAAACAAATCTCTCATTGACTGTACTGGGAGACTCGAACAGTAGCAGAAGGCGATAGCTGGCAGGCTTGCTACTCCTCTGCAAGGCTGGACCTTTTAAAATGTAAGAGATTAGCAAATGTCACAGCCTAAAAGCAAGTTTGCATTTAAATGCTCATCTAAATTGCCCCCAAATTTACCAAAAACAATTACTAAGGAAGTTCTGACATGGGAAAAATCTGTATCTAAACAAAGATCTTCGGTTTTCCTGGAATAGTATTTAATAACTCAATTCTCTCTAGTGACAGTACATGGGGAATTAAAGTGGCCTTTGCTAATAATACGCGTAGAATCAAGAGCTACATCAGATTTAAGTCTCGATTAGGCAGATGTCATAGATGATTTTGAAAAGGCTTTTTAATTTTCCCTGATTGCCATCAACACACGATGCATTTTGTCCAGTTTAAGTTGTAGCATTTGTATGTGATGATCTGTGGAGTATGAAACCTAGGGATCTGTTAAGCATCCTGCGTTAGAGCAGGCCGGAGGAGGCAAGAGGACGTCCTTACAGCCAGACTGGGTAGCACCAGTGATCAACCATCCCCATTGCTTGAGTAAAATGGTACTTTCTGGAGTATCTGTGATTTGCTTATTTACATCACTTGCTCATTTGGAAGGGTAAAACATGCACGTAGGGGGGACCAGGCTGCAGTGTGCAATCCACTGGTTCATGCCACATTTGCCCTGTATGTGGTACGTTTGACACACATGTGTGATACATTAGTGTATGCACATGCACGCCTTCAGGGAGGTTGTTGCAGGGGGGAACTCGCTAATTTATCAGGATGCGTTAGCGTGCATCGGATTCACTCTGTCCCTCCAGTTTTACTCCTCCGAAACCATTCATGTTGTGTGTGCATCTTAAACGACTCCAGCCAGGTTGCGGATGAAATCCTGGGCAACCGGCTTCTTCCCTCACTCCTGCTGGCCTAGCTTCACATCCCCAGCGGGAGGCTGAAGCCCGAAGAACCTAGAATCAGCATCATCTTCACGCTTCTTCTTTTTGAAATTTTTACAAGTCCGTAAAAGCATCACTGTGAGTGAACGGATGTGGTCTTGAGTGGGTCCAGAGGACTCATATTAGCGTCTCGTTTTTTTTGCCAGCTTCTGAGCATGCATACGATTTAGCAGTGAATGCTCATTACCTGCTGGGAGGAAGACAGTTGCACAAACAGACTTGCGGTGCTCTTCTGAACTTTAAACGCTGCTCTGTGGAAACAAAAGTGTGTTGGGGAGGGAGCGTGACAGGGAAGTGTCGGCTCCTTG